CTGGAACATAGCATGGAAAAGTCGAGCCAGTACATATCAGTAATATCCAAAAATGTAAATGGCTTCAAATCACCTGTCAAAAGAAATAGGTTGACACAGTGGATCAAGAAACAAGATCCCACAGTATGCTGTATACAAGAAACACATCTGAGTCAAAAGGAAACTCATAGATTGAAAGCCAAAGGATGGAAAACAGTATTCCATGCAACAGGAACCCAGAAAAAAGCAGGGGTAACTGTTCTATTTGCAGACAACATGAACTTCAAACCTAAAACAACTAAAAGAGGTAAAGAAGATCACTACATACTCGTTAGTGGAAAAATTCAAGAGGAAGAACTAGCAAATATAAACATATGCATCAAATACAGGAGCACCTACCTATATAAGACAGATAGTAAGCGACATGAAAAATCAAATACACGAGAATGCAATTATAACAGGGGACCTTAACATCCCATTGTCATGAAGAGATAGATCAACTAGATAAAAAGCCAGCAAAGAAATAACAGAACTGATATACCTGCGAGCAATTGTACTTAGTAGATGTTTACAGTGTTCCACCCAACCACATCAGAATACACATTCTTCACAGCTGTGCATGGGACATTTTCTAAAATAGACCACATATTATTCCATAAAACATTCTTAAGTAACTACAAAGGTATTGAAATTATCCCATGCATACTATCTGACCATAGCGCATTGAAATTGGAAATTAACAGCAAAAGAAATTGCAAAGCTTGCACAAATACATGGAAATTAAATAACAACCTTTTGAACAATCAGTGGCTGCAGGTGAAATTAGAGAAGAAATAAAACAATACCTACAATTCAATGAAAATGCAGAAACAACATACTGCAATCTGTGGTATGCAATGAAAGTGGTCTTAAGAGGAAAATACACAGCAATAAATTGTCATATCAAGAAAACAGAATGAGCACAAATAAATAACCTAATGCTTCATCTCAAGCTTCTAGGAACACACAGTTAAACCCAAAAGCTCGTAGAAGAAAGGAAAATGTAAAGATTAGAGCAGAAATCAATGCAACTGAAACTAAAAAAAATACAAAGAATTAATGAATCAAAAAGCTGGTTTTTTTGAGGGAATAAACAAAATTGGCAAACCTCTAGCTAACCTCATAAAGAAAAAGAAAAAAAAATTCATGCAATAAGGACTGAAAAGGGGGAAATTATTACAGATCCCATAGAATGTCAAAAGGATATAAATTCCTACTTTGAAAATCTCTACTCATGTAGAGTGGAAAACATAGAGGAAATTGACAGATTTCTAGAAACCTATGAACTACCAAAGTTCAACCAAGAAGATGTAACAATTTTGAATAACCGAATATCAGCTATTGAAATTGAAAGTGTAATTAAAAACCTCCGAACAAGGAAAGGCCAAGGTCCTGATGGATTCATGGTTGAATTCTACAAGAAATTTGGAGAAGATTTGATGCCAATACTCCATAAACTCTTCAATGAAATTGAAAAGGAAGCAATCCTCCCTAAATCATTCCTGGAGGCATGTATTACTCCGATGCCAAAACCAGAGGAAAGACCCAACCAAAAAGGAGAACTATAGGCCAATCTCACTAATGAACATTGATGCAAAGATTCTAATAAAATATTGGCAAATAGAATGCAGCAAATCATCAAGAAGATTATACATCATGCCCAAGTGGGATTTATCCCAGGAATTCAGGGATAGTTTAACATATGTAAATCAATAAATGTAATACACCACATCAACAGAACCAAAAACAAAAACCACATGGTCATGTTAATAGAAGCAGAAAAAGCTTTCAATAAAGTCCAACACATAGTCATGATAATAACCCTTCAGAAACTCAGAATACATGGTGTCTCCTCAATCTCATAAAGGTCATCTGTGACAAACCAATAGTCAACATTATACTAAATGGACAGAAACTGAAAGCTTTTATTTTAAAATCAGGAGCAAGACAAGGATGTCCACTATCACCACTCCTATTCACTATAGTTCTGGAAATATTAGCAACAGCAGTCAGATAGGAGGGAGAAATAAAAGGAATAAAAATGAGAAAAGAGGAAGTAAAATTATCATTATTTGCAGATGACATGATACTCTACATAGAAGACCCCAAAAACTCCATTAAAAGACTACTAGAGATAATAAACAAGTTCAGCAAGGTAGCTGGATACAAAGTCAACACTCAAAAAATCAATAGCATTCCGGTACACAAACAAAAAACTCCATGAGAGAGAAATTATGGAAACATCATCTTTCACAATAGCATCAAACAAAATAAAATATTTAGGAATCAACCTAATCAACAATGTAAAAGACCTATATGCTGAAAATTATACTACTATAAAAAAGGAGATTGAAGAGGATATTAGAAAATGGAAGGATATTACTTGCTCTTGGCTAGAAAGAGCCAACATTGTGAAAATGGTCATACTCCCAAAACTCTGTGTGTAACACAAATCTGTGTGTAAAACAGATTTAACACAATCCCAATCAAAATACCATTAACATACTCACAGATCTAGAGAAAACTCTGAAACTTCAATTGGAAACAGAAGAAACCTAGAATAGCAAAGGCAGTTCTGGGCAACAAAGGCAAGGCAGGAGGCATCTCAATTCCTGACTTGAAACTATACTACAAAGCCACAGTGATAAAATCAGCATGGTATTGACAAAGACATAGTCCTGAGAATCAGTGGAACAGATTAGAAGATGCAAGCACAGCTACAAAGACACTCAGCCACCTGATATTTGATAAAGGTGCTAAACATGTTCACTGGAAGAAGGATAGCCTCTTTAATAAATAATGTTGGAAAAATTGACTCTCCACATGCCAAAGACTGAAACTGGATCCACACCTATCACCATGCACAAAACTAAAGTCTAAATGGATCAAAGACCTAAATATTAAAACAAAAACACTAAATCTCCTGGAAGACAAGGTAGGTAGAAGTCTTGGAGATACAGGTGTAGGCAGAGAATTCATGAACAAAATGGAAACTGCATGGGACACAATTGAAAGAATCAACAACTGGCATCTCATATTATTGAAAAGTTTCTGCACTTCAAAAGAAATCACCAACAGAGTGAAAAAGAACACCCACAGAGTGGGAAAGAATTTTAGCCAGCAACCCCTTTGACAAAGGACTTGTATCCAGAACACATAACGAACTGAAAAACATCAGGCCCCCAAATTCAAAGACTCTCTGCAAAACTGGGCATCTGAGATGAACACACATTTCTCAGATGAAGATAAACAAATGGCAAATAAATACATGAAGAAATGTTCACCATCACTGGTCGTTCGAGAAATGCAAATTAAAATGGCATTGAGATTTCATCTCAGCCCGGAAAGAATGGCTGCAATCAAGAAATCAACTGATAACAAATATTGGCGAGGCTGCGGGGGAAAAGGAACACTGCTCCACTATTGGTGGGGGTCTATATTGGGGCAATTTCTATGGAAATCAGTATGGAGAATTCTCAGGATACTAGGATTAGAAGTTCCATTCAATCCAGCTATTCCCTCCTGGGTATTTTCCCAGAAAAACTAAAAAGGTCATGCCACAGTGATATATGTGCATCCATGTTCATAGCAGCACAATTTGTGATAGCTAAATCTTGGAAACAACCAAGATGCCCATCATCTGCAGGGTGGGTGAAAAAGATGTGGTATTTTTGTACAATGGAATATTACTCAGCTATAAAAAGGATGATCTGGACACCTTCATAGGCAAATGGAGACAACTTGAGACTATCCTTATTAGTGAAATAGACAAGAATCATATTTATAAGTATCACATTGTGTCTCTAGTATAAAAACTAATAGGAAATGTAGGAATAATAAAAGCTAAAATATATAATTGCTATTGTAAAAAAGAGGGAAAAAAAGTTCTCTAAAGGATATAACTGCATGTATACTGAAGCATATAGGATTGATAACCATATTACTAAGTTTTTGTTGGATATTTGAACAGAACTGCTTGCAGTCTCCCTGTTTAAACGTCTTCTTTGTATGCCTCACTTTTGTAACTTGAACAACTATTTGTAAGAGAATAATATATAATTACAAGGTAGTGATTCTAACTGCTTATTTTTTTGAGATTGTGTATTATTTGTAACCTTTTTCTGTTTTTTTTTTTTTTTTTTTTCCCCTTTAAAGAAAAAAATTCAAGAAGCCAGGAATTTAGCTCAGTGGTACAGTGCCTGCCTGGGAAGAGTGAGGTCCTGAGTTCGATTTCTTTCAAAAAAACAAAAAACAAAAAACAAAAAAACAGTTCAAGGGAAAACAAAGTAACTACATGAAAAAACAAACAAATCAGAAGATATTGACTCGTCCAAGTGTAAAGAAATTTAACTACTATCACTAATAAAAGCACTAGACTGTTATCTTAACATTAATAAGATACAATTGTGTTAGCATTCTAAGGCAAGTCAATATAAGGGCTAACACTGGAATAAAATAACCTATTAACCAATGCAATCAGAGTTGGTAAGATTTGCATAAAATTTAGATTTAAAAATTAAATTGTTAATATAAACATTTTTAAAGGTTTAAATTTTATAATTCTGCAGAGAAGAATAAGAAGATAGTTGTCTTTTGTTTTTTAATTTTCATTTACTTATTTTATTAGCATGTGTTTGTAAAACATAGCAATCACATTCCCCATGGGGAACTAGTATGTATATGGTGGTTCCTCTATAAAATTACCTTTGCCTCCTTTTCTTTCTTAATCAGACTTTTCAAACAAAGGCACAGATCATTTTTCTAAAATTTTTAAAATATAAAAGTAAAAGAGAAAACAGAAAAGATAAATTGAGAAAAGCTTCTTACAAAACAAAGGATAAAAATAAACAAAGGAGTCAATTCTGAAGTTCCTTGATAGGCCCTATCATTAATTCGGGTTTGAAATTCCGCAAGCTTTATGTGACTGTTTTCTTTACCTTGTCTTTTGACAAATTGAGTTTCTCCAAATATATATGATTTACCTTTTGTGGCACTGTCTCTTATAATTACAGTTGTCTTTCTCATGTGTCTTATATTTCCGCTGTGATCATCTTCTAAGTCTTCTGAGCTATAGCTCTGTAGTCCTCTTTGATATGACTGTGGTTTTTATCTCCACAAGTCACAACTGTCTGCCAGTTCTCTCCAATAATATATCAGTTCTCATCTTCCTATTATCTTCATCAATTCATGTTTCAAGTATCTTTTCTGGCTCGTTGCAAGATCTCTAAACTGTCAATTCAAAAGTTATCTTTTTTTTTTCCTCTTCTGACATATTTTAAACCTAAGGGAATCAGAGAATATAATGAACACCCATGACAGATAATTTAAATGTCATTTTATTTTTAAATTAATGCCAACCAGGCCATATGTGAATGCATTTCTTTTCTTATTTACTTGGTTGTTTTCCATATACCATATTTTGATAATTGTAAATATCCAGAATAGGCAGGCATTATGTACGATGCATTTGCCTCAAAACTAGCATTTAACTTTAAGTATAAATTATGTATTTACAATTTGCTATGAATCTTTGTCTTCATATTTCTTCAGTTACTTTAATTGTGGGCCTTCCACATATAGAAAGGCTTATTAAAATATTTTCTGTTTTTAATAGTCTATAGTTTATCGGTTTGAAACAAGTTAGGTAGTAAAAAAAATACTTACCTCATATTTTCCTCTTGGGTTTCTTAAATGTCCTATTGCTTTCTGAACTGTTAATATTGACTATTCTGATAACAGTCTGTTTTTTCCTTTTTAAATCAGTGGGCCTAATCACTTACAAGAAAAAAATCTGGTATCAAAGTATAATAGTTTTCCCAATATGCTTTGCTTTTGTAACTCTGAATCAATTTTCCCAGATACAGAAACTCATGCCAATATGTTGCTTACAGTCTTTTATTTCAGAAAAATGTCACATAAACCTTAATTTTTGATATCCATTATGCTTTTTCTCTGTATAGATAAAATACTATGTTTTCTGTCTTTTAATTAACACAGTATGTCACTTCCCAGCATTTTTTTCTTAGCAGAAACAATAAAAATTATAATTTAGTTTTTATTTCTGATTATTGATTTTCTGCTAATCACTTAAATTATGGGAGATCTTTTTTTGTTATTTTCACTTCATTGTTCTATGACTTTTTATCTGCTTGTGAAGTACTATGTACCCTAACACTGTGCAGCAAAAATGAAAATAAAAGAAGAAAAAAATACAGAAAGAAAGGAAACAGAAACAATGAAGAAAAAGAGTATTAGAAAAGAGGAAAGGGATAAAGAGGGATAGAGGGCAAAGGGGGACAAGGAGGTGGCAAATGTTCAAAGTAAATCATGTGAGTGTATGAATCTGAAAACATGAAACCCATTCTACATAGTTTATATGTACTAATAAAACCATGTACTGGTACAGTTAAAAACATAAATGAAATTTCTGATAAATATTACAGCACATATAAAAGTATTCTTACTAAAGGAATCTGTTTGATAAAAATTGTTAAGGTAATTTATTGTGCAGACAAAAACAAAAATTGCAAGATGTCTATTAATTTCCAAAGGATGCTGTGAGAAATTACAACCGTCCCTCTCCCTCTTTCTCTCTGTCTCTCACTCTCTGTTTTTCTCCCTACCTCTGTCTCTTCCTCCCACAGTTCTGGCAATAAGTCTAAAACAAATATATCAGCTCAACTGGGTGGTACTCCCCTAACACGCCCTAGGAAAAGCTGTCCTTGGCCTCTCTGCTCTAGTGGCTGCCAGTGTTCCTTGGCTGCTTGCTGGTTGATCACTCTGAACTGGGTGCTTACTTTCATGTGAACACCTCTGTCTTTTCCTCTTCTGTCTGACTCAGGTTGTCTTCCATGATACTTTATCTCTTTAATCTACAGTTACAACTTTTCCTAGTAAGACAGTATTCACAGTTGTCCGGGAACATACATGTAGACACATCTTTTCTGAGTCACCATGCTTTCCTGGATAGAACATGGCAACAAACTCTGCAATAATCTCCTTAAAATCAGATGAACTGTCCAACTTGCACCCACAGGTACAATGTGGATTCGATTTGCATCACAAAGAATAGCAACTTGACCACCACTTACTTGTGGTACCAACTTGCTGGTACCACCATCTTGCTAGAGAATATTATATATGAACGAATGCCATTTTAACATCATACTGACAACACTATTCTATTTAACAGTATTATATGACTAATCTACTTTTTACCAAAGATAAACTGTGGCAGGCTGTGTCATTACAAGCTATAGAAAAACTGGCAGACAACAAATCAGTTGACCAGAATACCACTTAAGGACAAATGGCATTTTATCAAGTGGCCCTAAGTTTTATGTAAAAATTAACATTTTTGTAAATAAAATTATTTTAGATTCATTCAAAATAGAATTATAAAGCAAAAGTATCTTTTCATTGGCTCATGCAATATATACCTTAAAGAAAGTATTATCAAAATGATACAGGAGAATGAAACTCCCAGCCTACTAGATATCCTGGTATGGGTTCCTATTCTCCAAAATCCAGGAATGAATTTTAGGAACAACAAAGGTTAAGAGCAGAATATATTTATTGAAAGAAAGAATGCTCCTGTCTGAGAGAGTGACAGAAGGGGTCCCCAATAGTTTGCCAAAGACTGTCTTTTCCAGGGACTTTTACAGAGTAAAATCATGAGGTGAGATGGGTCCAAGAAGGGGAAACCAGGGGAACTTGCAAGGCAGATAGACATGAGGTGGGACAGACCTATGGCTAACCAATAAGATTAACTTTTCAGGTAAAACTGACCAAGTCAGGGACAAATAGGGTAAGGAGTCATGTAGCAACCAAACAAGCAAGCATTCTTAAGGAGCTGTGACTCTGTAGGGAGTTGGGATAGTGGTTCCTGGCTTCCTCAAAGTCTTACATACCTATTTAACCTATTATTCCTTAATGTTTATACCCAGGTATAAACCCAGGGTGTGGTTGCATTCATTTTACCTTTTGTTTTAGGATCTGACAAACAGCAGGAGGTACCTGTCTGCTGCAAGGTCACAAAGTATGTGGTCCTCTGTGCCAGTTCCTTTGAGGACGCAGCCCTGTCTCTCTGTCTATAATGTTGCTAACTAACTCAGATGCTTGTAACAAAAATACAGAATGACTATGATTCTTAAGGGTCACGATGTACTCCTCAAATTTAAATTTTCCACCTTGTTTTCTTTTTTTACTTTAAGACTATATGCGTTTTACCAAAATGCAGTATCTTGCATTATTTCCATTAATAACTTTTGTTGACTCAGGCAGAGACAAAATCAGTTCCCTGCATGTCACTGGGGAGAGAAGGAAATCCTTTCCTATTTTATTTCAGTCAGGCATTGTTTTAAAGAGAATATAAAATATAGTCTGGCTTCAGAATTATATTTAGAAGAGTCTCTGAGGAATTTAATTACCTTATTGAAACCCTACACTGGCTTCAGTGAAACGATTTTGAGATGCACACATAGTGTACAGATCGCATCTCATTTTGGAATAAAAATAGAGACACACTGAGTTCTGATCACAGTGCAGTGACATTGCCTGATACTGTTTTTCCACAGATGGACAATCTATTCTCTTACTTAGAAGCTACTGAAGCTCAGAAATTCTTTTAGAAATGGAATTATGTTGAGCAGTGCACAAATTTATAAAAATCAAGGTATTTCTAGCATCAGAAAGGTCCAAGTTTCAGATTCACAAAGGATACCTATGGGGCACAGGTGGTGTAAACTGACTCCTCCCGGAAGTAAAATTAGGCTTGCTTTTAAAAAGGGCTATTGATACTTAATTTATCACCATTGTGATACAAGTTTTGCTGTTGTGGTTTTTGTTTTGAAACAGGGTCTCACTTTGTAGCTGTCCTTGAATTCCCTGTGTAGCTCAAACTCACCTTGTCCTCAGGGAAATCCTCTTTCCTCATTCCTCAGCCTCCAAAGCTGGAATTAGAGTTTGTGCCACCACTCCCAACAGTGACCCAAGTTTTAATGATGTATTGTTTTTTATCATTTTTCCTATTAGGGATTTTAGATAGCTGACATATACCTGTTCTCATTCTCATCTACTTTATTGTTTTAATCAGTCTTAAACTTTAGTTACATTTCTTAACTCAGGTTAGTCAATTATTTGGTGCTTTCAAAAAAGTATATACTATATGCTCAAGAACTTCTCTCATATATTTTCTCCAGCAATTTCTTTTTACTTTTTTTTTTGGTACCAAGGATCGAGCTCATGACCTCACACTTGCCAGGCAGGCACATACATCGCTGAGCTAAAATCCCCAGCCCCACCCTTTTTTTAAAAAAATTCTTTATTATTATATTTATGGGTTTTGAATCAATTCAACAAGTCCAATGGTTATTAACTGATGGAATTGGAAAGAAATGTGAAATATAAATGACCTTTATTTTAAGAATGCGGGGAGAGAGTCTGGCAATCTCTCTGTCGGACACATGGAGTGGGGGCATACATGTAGCTTAGGTTTGGGGTGGTGTCTAAGGGGCATTAGTGATGTCCAGGTAGCCCATTGGTATTCATTTCAAGCCACAGGTAAATTCCTAGGGGCGGGGAAGATAGAGCTCAAGATAGAGCCCCCTGGTTGCCCCTCCAAGGCTTTTCACCAGCTGCAGTATCCCAAATGGGGCAAAATCCTTTAATTAACCTCTTAGTGCTTTCTAAAATACTCATGAGTAACTGTGGGCCAGTTAGACAAGTCAAGATTTCTGGTGACATGATCAAGAGGTGAATGCTAGGACTTAATTACATGCAATGATAAATTTTGTAAATAACAATGGATGCTTCTCAATGCAACACATAGTTTAAATATTTGCTGTCATGACTGACACTATTCAGGTACTACAAAGAAAACTTCACTACATACTTTGGCATATATTATTAAAACAGAAAAGGAACAGACAAATTCTTTGAAAATATGTAGGTTGCAACATTTTCATTGACAGAGACTAATGTAATGCTTCAGAGCAGAGAGAAAATTTGAAAGGAGGAAATACCTAGAAATAAAATAAAAGTAGCTAATTTTCAAAATCCTTTCTTTTAGTTAACAGGAGTGCATTAGACTCTTCCATAAGGTATTGTTTCCCAGGAATTCTGACTGTTCATTACTTGTGTCTGTGTTATGGATTGTGTGCATCCAAAGCCTTAAGGGGTGAAGCTTCTTGGTGGTGACTACATCTGGAGTGTGTGATACTGGGATCAAGCATGTGTCCTTACTAAATTAGTCCACTGATTGGTCTGGTATCTTTCTCAGTAGGATTACAGATGCCCCGTCATGTGTGTGAGGGCCGGTAGCCTGTTGTAAGGGCAGGTAGCCTGGATATAATATAAGGGACAGAAAGAAGGTCATCAATTGCTGCTCTTGGTGCCTTCCTTGCTCCTGAACTGTTCCTGCTCTGTGATGCCACTCTGCCATGCCACCCTGCCTTGGAACCAGCTAGTGATGTCCTAAAACCTCTATAAACTGTGAGCTGAAAGAAGCCTTTTCTCCATTAACGTTGAATGTAGTGCATTTTGCCTCAGCAGTGAGAAAAGTCACTAAGATAGTCTTTCTGTATTCACATATGTGAAACTAAAGTCCTCAGAAATAAGACCCTTTTTAGCAAATACTCTGCATTCTGCCTGAGGAACCCTTTTCAATATTCAACTATTCATATTATTTTTTCAATTTGAATATAACTAAGTTTAATTAAAGCATGATAACAATTATTAGGTCACTGGGAGGACAGTGACAAACGTGTACACAGTCCCATTTTTATGAAAATAG